CCCCCCGGCACGGCGAGGTCTTGCTCAGACCCGCGCGGTGCCTCACCCCGCAGGACCCACCGGCAGCCCTCGAAAGTGGCGACAGCGTCGCAGATCGCAGCCCCCCACGCACGGCGAGGTCTTGCTCTGATCCGCGCGGTGCCTCACTCCTCAGGACCCACCAGCAGCCCTTGGAAATGGCGACAGTTTCGCAGATCGCAGCCCCCCAGGCACGGCGAGGTCTTGCTCAGACCCGCGCGGTGCCTCACCCCGCAGGACCCACCGGCAGCCCTCGAAAGTGGCGACAGTGTCGCAGATCGCAGCCCCCCAGGCACGGCGAGGTCTTGCTCAGATCCGCGCGGTGCCTCACTCCGCAGGACCCACCAGCAGCCCTCGAAAGCGGCGGCAGTTGCGCAAATCCCCCCCGGCACGGCGAGGTCGTGCTCAGATCCGCGCGGCGCTTCACTCCGCAGGATCCACCAGCAGCCCCCGAAAGTGGCGACAGTTTCGCAGATCGCAGCCCCCCAGGGACGGCGACCACAGGGGGGGCAGGACAAGGGCGCGACCACACCCCTCTATTCAAAACGAATACCCAACCAAGGACGGCATAAACGAGGAGGCGCGGCCTCCTGCGGAGAAGGGGCGCGGCCTCCAGCGCCTGCCCTCCGCGGCCGTGCGATGCAGGAGGCGTCGCCTCCTTTTCCTCCTCCATCCTCCAACCACCCCCCTCTCTCCCCATCCCCCCTCTCCCCTATTCCTGCCTTGCCCTTGCCCCCCGTCCGAACGCCGACGGCCCCCTCAACTTAGTTCGCGATCTTTCTTGCAGTCCGCGGCGCCTTTTCGAGCCATGGGGTCGAAGGCGAGCGCGCGCTGGGCGGGGTTCTCACGCGGCCAGGCGTCGCAAAACGCCGCGGCTGCGCCGTTCCAGGAGCGCAACAAGAAGCAGGGGATCCCGCAGCCACAGGTAAACTGGGCGCACCAGGACACCAGCGCGGGGGAGAGGAGGAGAACGAGGAAGGGGATGGGGAAGGGAAACCGTTTGAATTGCGCGCGCCCTCGCAGAGGAACCGGAGCAGGATGGGGTAGATCACCATGCCCGATGGCCCGACGCAGGCGCTGGAGCTTGCGTGGAAGAAAGGGGGGCGGTTGGCGTACTACACGGCCCGATTTCCCCTTTCTCGATTTTGCCTTCCTATGCCCTAATGCCCACCTCCCCCCTTCCTCCCAGGTCGGCCGCCACACGTACGAAGCGGACTTGTGGGCGCCCCAGCAGTGGAACTCGAACCCGAGCCTGCAGATGTGGTACCTCCTCCCTCCTCCGCGCCCCTCCGCCCCTCTTCTTTTCGCCCCTGCCCAGGCGCCAGGTGGTCGCGACGCCGAACTTCTGAGCGCTGCGGCAAGCGTCAGACAGCGACGCATGTGAAGAATTTTCTCCGCTGGTACTTCCAGCGCGAAGCTCCTCTTGTGTTTCGTTGAACGCTGAACCTTATCTTATCTTCTGGAGGCTGAGCCTCCAGCGCAGGAGGCATTGCCTCCAGTAAAGAAATAAAGGAGGCCTCGCCTCCTCTGCGCCTCGCAGCCCCTTCCCCGCTTGCCCTTGCAAGCCGAGCGCAATTTGCTCACAGCGCTGATGTTGGAGTAAGCTCAAAAGTATAAAGAAACAGAAAATACACTATTACCCCACATATAAAACATACAAACCTTAATACAACACCTTCACAGCAATATCACAAAATCGCCTGGGGCACCCTAAAACTACAAACATCAAAAATAATATGCAACAGAAATACAAATTCCAAAACTACAAAACAATACAACAACCTATATAAACACATGCGAACCTATACAAACGACAGTTTATTAAAACAAACCTCTGCGTAATCTGCATTAAAATCGCACATATTTCAACGTTGACGCTTTTTTAAAAAAAATCTGTTTGTGCTATATATATATATATATATAACAAGTTTTCGGCTTGCGTGTCCATCGCGTTTTCTAAGGCCACGCCAAATGCGCGGCTCAGAAGGTTGCCGCCGCGGACGCCGCTCACGGCGGCGCGCGTCTCCCCAGTAGAGGGATGGAAGGGAGAAGCGGCAGAAACAGAGGAGGAGCGATGGGGAAGGACAAGTGGTAAGCCAAGTGGAATGGAGAGAGAGGGGAAGGTGGAGGGAAAGAGTCTGCCTTTCTCTTCGAGGAGGCGGCGCCCCCTTACCACCCCCCCCTCCTCGCCTTCCACATCCCCGAGTCCTCCGCGCGCCGAACCGCCGCCCGCGGAGCGTTCGTGAGTTCGACCTTCCAAGGCAATCCCACGACGAGGCGATTCCAACAGGACCTTTTGTCGCCTGGACCCGGGGCCGCCCTGGAAGGAAAACCCCTCGAAAGCCCAATCGCCTCAGATGTGCTCGCTCGGCGGCAACCCCAGCCTTGAGCGCAGCGACTGGATGCTCACAGCGATCTGCTCGGCCTGCTGCTGGAGCAGGTTCTGCTGCTGCTGAAGGATGGTCAGCGCGTCCAGGTGCTGCCGTTGCTCATGCGGCTGCTGCTGCTGCGGCTGTTGCTGCTCCGCGTCGGCGCCAGGTGCTGTTGCTGCTGCTGCGGCTGCAGGCTGCTGCGTCTGCTGCTCCATCTCCGCCGCCTGCTGCATCTCCGCCGCCTGCTGCTGGTGCGCCTGCTGCTGCTGCGCAGCCCAGGCGGCGCGTTCCTGCTGCGCGCGCTGCTGCTGTTGCGCTTGCTGCTGCTGCGCGGCCGCCTGCTGTTGCTCGTGTTGCTGCTGCGCGGCCGTCTGCTGTTGATCTTGCTGCTGTTGCGCGGCCGTTTCCTGACAGGCAGCCATCGTGGCGTGAGTCGGCACCTGCGGCGGGAAGCTCTGAAGGAGGTCACCTCTTATTGAAGACGGAGTGGCCCACCATCCCGTCCAGGGCGGCCCCGCTGCGCTCGGCGGCTGTGCTTCGCTCGGCGCCATGCTTGTCGCCGCCAGGGCTATGCGCGGGGGCGCAGCCTGGGTCGGCGCCTCGGAGGCAGGCCTATCGAAGCCGAAGAGGCCGGCCTGCGCTGGCTGCTTCCAGCCCGCGCTGGGCGCTGCTGCTGCTGCTGCTGCTGCTGCAGCGTCTGCTGCTGGAGCTGATGCTGCTGCCCCGAACTGCCGGTGTTGCTGGAGCTGCTGCCGGAGCTGCTGCTGCGGGCCTTCCAGGTCCTGCGCTGCTGGAGCTGCTGCTGCTGGTGCAGCCTGCGCTGCTGCATCTCCTGCTGCTGCCAGTGCTGCGGCTGCGGCTGCTGCTGCTGCGCCGTCTCCTGTTGCTCTCGAAGGAGCTCCTGGTGCAGCATCTGCAGCTCCTGCAGGTGCGTCGCCTCCGCCTCCTGCTGGTCCTGCTCCTGCTGGTGCGTCGCCTCCGCCTCCTGCTGGCCCAGGCTCGGCGGCCGCCGCTGCACGCCTAGGGGCGGCCTTTTCCGGGGCCTTCCGAGCCGGCGGCGGCCCTGGGGGCGGGCGCGGCCCGCGCGGCGGCGCCCAGGGCGGCCCTCCGATCGGGCGGTGGCGGCGGCGGTGCACCAACACCTCGGAACTCGCCTGGGCGGAGAGGGGATGCTGCAGGAGGCAGCGCTTCCTCAAGTACCATCTCCGTCTCGAGTTCGAAATTCGAAGTTCGACTTCCGAATTTCGAATTTTGAACATCGAACGTCAAACTCGGAAGTTTGAACTTCGAATGTCTCCCCCCTGCTTCTGCCGCGTCCTCCGCGGCGCAGGGGCTGCAGCGCCCTCCATCTCCGCAGCGACCGTCTCCTCCATCCCGCGCTTCTTGCGCAAGAACCTGGGCATTGATGTTTGTGTGTGTGCTTTTGTTTATGCTTTTAATATTTGTCTTGCCGGAGGCGTTGCCTCCGCGCGAAAGTATACATTTTGCTTCTGTATCCCCGGGAGCTCGCGCTGCCGCACCCCCTTCGCCATGCGGTTCCGCGCCTGCGGCCGCGCCACAATCGCCATGTGCGTGTTGTGGTTGACCATGTTGCGGCGCTGGCACTGGTGGCTCAAGCACAGGTGCACGAACTTATCGCGCCCGCAGTGCACGCACCGTTGCCCCCCCCCCACCACACACACACACGGTTTTTCAGCCACACGCGCGCGCGCGCGCGCCACCCTCTTCCCCATCTCCTGAGGCAGCCACTGCAGCTCCTCGTCGGGCTCCCCCTCAAAGAGGATCATGCCGTCGTCCTCCTCCTCCTTCTCTTCGCCGGCAGCTGGGGGCCCGTCCCGGAGCGCGTCCTTGAACGGGCCCTTGCCGCCAGGCGGACCTCCACCGTCGACCCCGCCAGGACGCGGCGGGCGGCCCACCGCGCAGCAAAACATCGCCACCGCCTGCGGGCAGGGGGGATGGGGAAGGGTATAGAAAAACGTGCGTCCTCCTCCTCCTCCTCCTCCTCTTCCTCCTCCTTCAGGAGGCGAGGCCTCCTCCTCTGCCTCCCCTTTTCCTCCTCCCCCTCCGCCTGCTGCGCCAGCGCCGCGAGCAGCAGCGCTGCCCAGGAGGCCGCCATGGCCCCGCCGAGAGGCCCTGCTTGGGAGGGGCCGCGCGGCCCCGAGCGTCGCGAGGGCGCCCCGCGAGGGGCGCTCGTGGCTGCGACGGGCGAATGAAAACATGCATCCAGCTGCCGTTCGGAGCAAGATGAACCAGGAGGTGGCGCCTCCTATAGGACGCGGTGCCGAGCAGGAGGCGGAGCCTCCTGTCGGGGGCGATGTTGCCGAGCAGGAGGCGGAGCCTCCATCGGGAGGCGTCGCCTCCCCCCTGTCGATCAACGCGCCCCTCCCCTGCGTGCAGGGGGCGGGCTCTCGTCCAGGAGGCGTTGCCTCCTCCCCCCCCCTTGCCTTCGCTCTTCGCCCCCCTCCTTTTTCGCCGACCGCGTCGAGAACGGTGCAAGGTCTGGTTCCGAACTCCTGTTTCAGCTGCGTGATTGTGGCCCAGAGCTGGCTGCGCTACATGCACACCTCCGCTGCCGCCGCTCCCTCCTGCTACTCACGCCGCCGCCGCCAGTCAGAACATGTCGCGCAGAAACTCCTCGCCTCGCGCTTTCACAGTCGCTTCCGTGATCTCCCGCATGCACAGCCTGCTGACCATGTCCGCTGCCACCTCCCGCATCTGCTCCTCGGAGTAGTCACCCGCTGTCCACTGGCACACCTGGCTGCGCGGTTTGTGCACCTGGCGGATCGCCACGGCCGCCTTCTTCTTCTCGCCTGCCTTGTACCACATGACAACCCAGGCTTTCCCCTTCACAGAGTCCTCCTCCACCTCCAAGCTCGGGCTCCTGTCGGCCGCGGCAGGCTTCTCGTCGGCCGCGGCAGGCTTCCTGTCGGCCGCAGCCGGCCTCCGCTTGCTCGAGCCGCCCTCCGCGCCCTCCAGGTCGGACTCGTCCGTCTCCTGGCTGCTCTCCATTTCGCCGTCCTCGCTGTCGTCGCGGGCGCGGACCCCCTTGGCCTCGTCCTCGTCCTCCTCTTCGTCCTCCTCCTCGTCCGCTGCCGCCGGCCTCTTCCGCGCTGCCGCTGGCCGCTTCTTCGCCCCGCCCTTCGGGTGAGCCTGCTGCGGCTTGGCTGCCTCCCCTCCGCCCCCATGCTCCGCGGCCTGCAGGGCGGCGTTCGCCACGAGCATCTCGACCGCCTCACCGTCGACGGTGATCACGGCGAACCCCTTGGGGCCCTGGCGAAGACGGAACCGCTCTTCCTTGAGCCCGAGCCACGCCTCGGGGCAGTGCCGAGCCCTCGCGAGTTCCATCGTGTTGTAGTCCACCCAGTCTTCGTCCTCCTTGAAGGTCGCCGCATTCTCGGCCTGGTAGCTCGCCCCCTTTTGCGCCTCGGCGGGGGGGGGAGGGCGATGGGGGCGCGGGACAGAGAGAGAGGGCGTTTTCATATCGAACTCTCTCTCTCTCTCTCTCGAACTTCGAACTTCGATTTTAAAACTCTCTCTCTCTCTCTCTCGTTTTCTCTTTCTCTCTGTCTCTCCATACCTCCCTCTCTCTCATGTATGGTACAAAGTGAAACGCAAACGCTGCGCGGGCCTTCCTCGTGCTCGGCGGGCTGCTGGCCACGGTCTCCTGCGACTGGACGACGCGCGCCCCCTCGTCGCCCTTGCGCTTCCGCGGGGGGCCCCTCGCGCCGTATAGGGCCAGGATCGCCGCGCCCTGGTCCGCTACGCTGGACGCGGCGCCGCCCGAGGCGGCCGACGCCGCCCCTGGGCTGCCGCGAAGCTTTGCTGAGCTCGGCGGCGTCGAGGCGGGCGAGTGCTGTCCGCCACCCACGGCCTCCACCCCCCCGGCGTGGATCACCGTCTGCACCGCGGGAGGGGGGCGCTGCAACTCCTTGTTGCCGCTCCTCTTGTTGCACCACGGCAGCGTCTCCACCAGAATTTTTGCCCACGCCGAGGACGCAGGGTCCGCCTCCCCGGCACCTCCTTCAGACCCTTCTGGAGGTCCTTCGCGGACAACCTCGCCGTCCGCTCATTCACGCTCGCCCAGAAGTTCACGTTCTTGCGCGCGATGTCCTCGTAGCTGCCCGTGCAGTGGAATCCCAGGATCTCGCCCTGCCACTTGCGGATGACCCCGTTCAAATCCTCCTGGGCGATCTCCACTTTCGCACGCCCCGACGCCATGCGAGCGGCCCCGCGCCGAGGTTGGGGGGGCCGTTGCCACGGCCTCTCGATGGCAGAGTGCGGCGGCGATGGGAAGGTTGGATGCGCCGCCGTCGTCGCTCCTAGGAGGCGCGGCCTCCACGTCCGCATGCTCGCCCCGCCCAATTCCGCTTCCCCCCTCCCCCCGTGCAGGAGCCGCGGCCTCCTCGTTCGTCGCCCCCATGGCAAGAAGTCAACTGCCGCCCCTGCGAGATCGACGCGATGCCCTGGAGGGGGTGACGCCCCCTGAACACGCCAAGACCGCTCGCACATGCAGCATATGGCTCGCCGCAGGAGGCGCGGCCTCCTCCGCGCGGGAACAAAAGATCCCATTGCAGGAGAAGTGCGCCTCCTCATGGGACAACATCGCGCCGCCGTCGTCATTAAGATGTACTCGTCGCTACAGATTTAGCGATGATCGTCGCTATTTTTAACGTCGACGCTAAATTTAAGGCCGGCTACTAAATAAACAGATGCACTAAATAGGCATAGATGGATCTACATGGAAGAGGGCCCCGCGAGGCCCAAGAGGCCCAAAAGAGGCCCCCAAGAGCTTCCCCGGAGGCCCCCAAGAGGCCCCCAAGATGCCCAAAAATGGCCCTGAGCGCGCCCCAAGACGCCTCCTGGAGAGCCCAACAGGCCTCCGAGAGGCTCCCAAGAGGCCTACTGGAGGCCCTCAGGAGGTCGTCCCCATCATGTTCCCGGAAGACGGTCCGGGAACATGATTCCGTGCCTTGGAGGAGTATTCTGCGCCTTCCGAGGCGCCTTGGACGACGCGCGATTCATATTGATTGAACGCTTTCCGGGAACATGATTTCTCACCGTTTCGGAACGCTTTCCTACTGCTGCGGTGCTTTGGGGGGAGGGGACGGGGGTCCGGGAACATGATCGGGAGGTTAGGGAACGAGGGTTTGGAGAGGAGCAGCAGGACAGACGGACGGGGCCCGCAAGACGGCTCCGATACGGCCCAAAACGTCATGGAGAGAGCCTCGATACGGCCCAGCACTACGCCAGAGAGATCCCCCCGATCATGTTCCCAGAGCGGTCCGGGAACATGAGGTATAGGTATAGGTATAGGTACAGGTATAGGTATAAGTATAGGTATAGGTATAGGTATAGGTATAGGTATAGGTATAGGTATAGGTAAAGGTATGTGTATATGCTTATGTATATGTATATGTATGTGTCTAGGTATTTGTATGCGCATATGTATGTCTGTGTATGTGAATGTATATGTATAGATAGCCCAAAGGCCGCTCCAAGACGCCCAAGATGGTTCCGAAACGGCCTCAACAGCTTCCAAGACGGCTCCGGAGACCCCCAAGAGGCTCCCAGGAGGGCCCAAAGAGGATCCCAAGAGACAGAATTCATTGATTTGTCAATTGTTTTTCTAAGGTTTTTGGGGCACCCGCCTTTTAAGCTTCCCGACGCTCCATGACGGCCACGAAGGCTCCCAATATCGCCCCCCCGAGGGGCCCAAACACGCCCAAGAGAAACCCAAGAGGGCCCAAGACGGCCCGAAAGGGTCGTCCTGTGGGGCTCACGGAACCCTCCAAGACGGCCCAAGAGGCCCCGAAGCCGGCCCAGGAGGCCCCCAAGACGGCCTCAGGGAGGCCCAAGAGGGCCGCGCTCGACATCATGTTCCCCGAAGCCTCTCCGGGAACATGACTTCCAGGCTCCCCGGACGCCCTAGAGGCCCACAAGACAGCCTCAGCGAGGCCCCAGAGGGCCCGAGATGGCTTGAAGATGGCCGAAGAGGGCCCCAAGAGGGCCTTCATCAATATTCCCGTCGTAAAACGTACGTTTTCAGCATACTCGCTGACTTCGTCTTCACAGTGCCCCAGACGCCCCCGCGGAGCCCCAACACAGCCCAAGAGAGACGTCCAAAAGGGCCCAAGACGGCCCAAAAGGATCGGCCTGTGGGGCTCACGGAACCCCCAAGACAGCCCAAGAGGCCCCGAAGCCGGCCCAGGAGGCCCCCAAGACGGCCTCAGGGAGGCCCAAGAGGGCCCCGTTCGAAATCATGTTCCCGGAAGCCTCTCCGGGAACATGATTTCCAACTTCCCAAGGCCCCCAGGGCCCCAGGACAGCCTCAGCGAGGCCCAAGAGGGCCCGAGATGCCTTGAAGATGGCCGAAGAGGGCCCCAAGAGGGCCTTCAAGAGGCAAAAATCAGCCCGTTCCCGTAGTAAAACGTACATGTTCAGCATATTCCCTTGCTTCGTCTTCGCAGTTCCCCAGACGCGTTTGAGGAACCCCGACACAGCCCAAGAGAGACCCAACAGGGCCCAAGACGGCCCAAAAGGGTGGTTTTGTGGGGCCCACGGGACCTCCCAAGACGGGCCCCAAAGCCTGTCCAGGAGGCCCCCAGAACGGCCTCCAGGAGGCCCACGGGGGCCTCATTCGAAATCATGTTCCTGGAAGCCTCTCCGGGAACATGATTCCTGGGCTCCCCCGGACGCCCGAAGACAGCCCCCAGAGGCCCCAGACACGCCGAAGATGGCCTCAGGACGGCCGACGACGCGGCCAAAACGCCCCAAGAGCGCCTCCAGACGCCCGCCCAAAGGGCCCCAGAAGCCGAACATAATGTATTTTCCCATGGTTTTTGAAGCATTCTTGCGCTCTTATGTGTTCCGCCTCCCCACGGTCCCCGACCGCGTCAGAGGCCCTTCAGATCGCTCCAAGACGGCCGAAGAGGCTCCCAAGAAAGCCCAGAGACGGCCCAGGAGGCTCCCCAGTAAGTCAAGAGGGCCTCGAGAGCGCACCAAGAGAGCCCCAAGAACGACCCAAGAGGGCCCGAAGAGCGCGACATATTTCAAGGTCTCCGGCCTGAGAGGCTCCTAGGACGCCCCTGGAGGCCATCAAGAGGCTTCCAAGAAGCCCCGTGAGGTTCCCAAGAGGTCCCCCAGAAGCCCCAGCAGGCCGTCAAGGGGCCCCCAGGGAAGCCCCCTGCGGGCCCCCAAGACACTTCGGTAAATCGTATTCCCCAGATAGATCTCCGGGAACATGATTCCTTGCGCTTCCGCCCGCCGCCCCAACCATGTTGCCAATAGGCTTGCCGACAAGGCCAAAAGGCGCCCCTCGGTAAGCCCCCAGAGGCCCTTCTCTTAGAGAGCCGAACAAATCATGCTCCCGGAAAGCTTCCCAGGAACATGATTCTCCATCTCGGAGTAGGCCCGGGGGGGGGGCGCTGCCTGCTCCCCCCATCGGTGCCCACCGGGGGTTGTGGGGGGGTCCAGAGCTCCCGAGGCGGCCCGAGCCCGCCCCGAAGCAGGCCACGAGGCCCCGAAGACGCCCAACATGCCCTCAAGACAGACGACGAGGACTCCAACACGCTCCAGGACGGACTCAAGAGGCTCCCCAAAAGGGTCCTGGAAGGCAAGATTCACTCGTTTTCCGAGTGTTTGGGATTTTGGCGTTCTCGCTTTTTCCGCTTTCCAGCGCTCCCTCACGGCTTCGGAGGACTTCCAGATCGGTCCAAGAAGGCCCACGAGGCCCCGACGAGGGCCGCAAGACGGCCCAGGATGCTCCCCAGAAAACCCAAGTGTGCCCCAAGAGCGCGCCAAGAGAAGGCCCAGAGGGGTCCCGAGGCTGCCCGGGCCCGCCCCGAAGCAGGCCACGACAGGCTAATGGAGGTCCCGAGAGGGCCTAGACGGTCCCGAGAGGCCCCGAAGACGCCCAAGCTGCCCTCAAGACGGCCGACGAGGACTCGAACACGCTCCAGGACGGACTCAAGAGGCTCTTCAAGAGGGCCTTGGGAGGCAAGATTAATTAATTTTCCGATGGTGTTTGAAGGATTTAGGCGTTCTCGCTTTCGCCGCTTCCCAGCGCTCCCTCTCACGGCCTCGCTCGGAGGCCCTTCAGATCGCTCCAAGACGGGCCAGGAGGCCCCGAAGAGGGCCCCAAGACGGCCCAGGAGGCTCCCCAGACAACCCAATTGTGCCCCAAGAGCTCCCCAAGAGCGGGCCCAGAGGGAGACCGCCAACCGATGTTTCGAGGTCTCTGGCCCTCGAGGCCGCCTGTAGGCCCCCGGAGGCCACCAAGAGGCTCCCACGAAGCCCCGTGAGGCGCCCAAGAGGCCCCCAGGAAGCCCCAAGAGACCCCCAAGGAGCTCTCAGGGAACGCCCAAGAGGCTTCCAAACACACCCCAAGAAATCATGCCCCCAGAAAACCTTCCGGGGACATGGTTCATCATGGGCCCGAGAGTTCCCAGAGGCCCCCAAGGGGCCCCCAGGGAACGCCCAAGAGACCCCAAAACACACCCCAACAAACCATGTCCCCAGAAAGCCTTCCGAGGACATGGTTCATCATGGGCCCGCGAGTCTCCGGAGGCTCCGAAGTACCATCATGCTACAGGAGAGCTGTCTGGGAAGTTGATTGGGAACATGATTGATCGCCTTCTCGCGGCCCTCCGCAGATCGTTTCGCACAAAGTTGCCCCAAGTGTCCTCTTGAATTGACGACGACGACGACGACGAAACGACGACGACGACGACGACGACGACGACGACGACGACGACGACGATGACGACGACGACGACGGCGCGCCCCAATAGGCGACGACGACATTACGACGACGACGACGATGACGACGACGACGACGACGACGACGACGGCACGCCCCAACAGGCTCCCCAAGACGCCCCAAACCCATGCTTCCAGAAGGCTTTCTGGGAATCCGATTCACACGGCCTCCGCCCCTCTACACAACCATTTTCCTCGAAGGCCTTTCGGAATGCAGATTGGCATGCGTGGACTGTGGTCCACTACTTCAGTGGAGCAGCAGTGAATTCGTCAAGGCCTGGGGCCTGCTAGAACGTGAGCGCGTGCGAAGCGCGCGCGATGGTTCTAGTGCATGTATATATATATATATATATATATATCCCAGGGGAGCACGCCCGGGGCCCGAAAACAGCTGCCCCGACCCTCCATGGGGGCACGGGGGCTCA